AAAAAAAAAAAAAAAAAAAAAAAAAAATCTTCCCAAGTCAATACTTGTATTTTAATACGAGCTTTGATATGAGACCCATATACATACAAAATTTGAAAATATTTGCACTTTAATACCTAAACTATTAGCCAACAATCAATTAGGTCCCTAAACTATCATATTCATGCAATAATGTCCTAAATTCGACTATAACGGCTAGTTCCAAAGAACAGGGTCAGAAGTGCACTTTTATCTCTTTATTAATCAGGTTTTGTTCACCAAAAAGGTAAATAAGTGATGCAACTAAATTTTAAAAAAGAAGAAACAGGTTGTCGACTTACCATATCATTCCCCATTGAAGCCAAGATTTTTGAAGGATAAAAATCTGGAAAAACATTCTACAGATATTTTCAGAACAAATTTTGGATAATTATTCTGCCATAAAATGATTTGAAAAGCAGAATCTGAATCAATTCATATTGTTAGCCCCCTATTTAACAGTTGTAAACTCTGTAGCACCAGCACTTCATCTGGAGTAGCGTGTTCGTGTTTGACACGTGTCGATACTGATACTTCTCGGGCACTCTATCATAAGCATTTTTCTTTTTTCTTTTTTTTTTCCTTTAAAAAAAATTATGTATTTTTAACTCAAAGTTATTATTAAATAACAAATAAGTACTCGTACCTAAATAATTTCAAAAAAAAAAAAAATAGTAAACAAATTAATATCAAGTATAAAATTAAATTTATACTATATATATAAATGAAAAATTTTTAAAAATTTAATCAATGTGTTGTCAACGTGTCGTGTCTGTACCTTTTTGAAAAATTGTGTTAGCGTATCCGACACGTATCATGTCGGACCTAAGTGTTTGTGTTGGTGTATCATAGGTTGTAAAATAGGCAACCGAAGGGGCCTGCTGTACTTGCTTGGCTGGCTAGTGTGGGCTTCTTTAATTTGTTTTCTGCTTTCTTAGATAATCAGTAAAACACAAAAAAGAACTACTGGGACTGCACTGAGCTGAGTGTGGCCTCACATTCTCTGGACGTGCTAGGGCTGGCTTGGTCCAGTTGGCACCCCTAACCATATTTCTTAATTTAATACCTCCTCTTTCTATGAATACATTTCATTATGCATTCCAGACTTTTATATGTCAAAACTATCTCCCAAGAGTTTTCATTTGACTAATTGACTTTCCAAATGTTATTTTTATTTCTCTTTTACTAGCTATAATGTTCCAGGAGTACTCTTGACTTGACTAGTTCATTTTTTAAAATTTGAAGATTTTACATGATGTTTTGCTGGTTCCATGACTAAGTTGGGTGGAGCTCTCACTTGAAAGACGAAATTATGAGTTTTTCTATTGTTTGGGGGTGTTTCCAATAACTTTAAATTAATGAATAGGGACTGACTGACTGTAAAACAATAGGACTTCTAGTGGATGGGAGGTTAGTCAATTGTCTATAAGGGGCTTGCCAAGACACAGAAAAATTTAAAATAGGGTATTTATATAGAAGTTTTATTTATCTTTTTCTAGAGAGTCTCGTTACTGATTGGCATTATAATTCTGATTTCTAGTTATGTTCTAAAATGGTTCAAGGTCAATTGCCTCAGGAACTCCCACGTGTGAAGAAGAAAATGGTGCAAAAACAGAGTCTCCATCAACTGCAAGGATCAAGTATGTTTGGGTCATTTATTATATATATTCTTAAAGTATCTGTTTGTTTTCCTTATCTGATTCCTTTTGATGTTGAGGGTCAGGTTGGAAGATCAAAGAAAAGGTATGGAACTTTCTGACTCTCATTCTTGAAATAGATAAGTGCATATGTTCAAAAAGATATGCTCTCACACACATTGATGGGAAATGAAGAAAATAATAAAGATAGGATTTAGATATGATTTTAAATTAGAGTTTGATTCAAATTATGTTTGTTTATATTAGATTAAATTAGTTTTAGTATTATAATAATGTCCTACTGTATAAGAAATTCTTTTGATTTTAGCTTCTTTGCCCTATATAAAGGGGGCTTACGCATTTTAATACTTTGACTTTGTTTGTGAAATAAATTAATTTTTTCCCTCTAAATTTTCTCCTCTTCCTCTTCCTTTTCTTCTCTCTTCCTCTTTATTTTCTCAATCTTGTCATACATCACTTCACGTGTACATACATGTGCAGTCACATATTGCATAAAAATGCGTACCCTGACATATTCTCTCTTTTCAGAGGTAGGTTCCGGTGAAGGTTCTAGCTTTGCAAACACATCAGCTGGGGTGCTTAAGGGGGTGTCTAGTATAGTCCCGTGTAAGGATGGTCATGACAACATTAAAGTGGAAGGTATAAATTGATTCATACTCCAAACAACTATTTGATGCCCACATTTTTTGTATAGGTCTGACCACACACACTCACACACACAGGTTGACAGTTTATCACAATAATTTTCTAGCATATTTCTGTAGCACAAGCATGTGTCGAATTTAACATTCTGCTGCAAAGTACTGATTGCTAGTGAATTCATAGAAAGAAATTATATTTTTCTATATTTAATAGCAAAGTATACAAATCAATTTATAGTACAAACTGAAGAAGGGAAAAAGGAAAGGAATCCCCTAAATTAAGAAAGGAGGAAATCGACCTGATTAGTCTAACTATTGAAAAATCTAAATATGGTACAAGAAATCAAATCAATTACAATTATATACTTTTGGATTTTTACACTTTTCCTCAAGTTGGATGGTAAATGTTGATCATATCTAACTTGCAAATGAAATTGTTGAAACTCCGTCCGAGTATTCCTTTGGTATTCGTCTGCGGTTTGTTCTTTAGTAGAAATTTAGGTTATGCAAACTCCGTCTTCAACTATTTTTTGATGAAATGTCTGTCCACTTTTACATGTTTGTTCCGATCACGTTGAACCGGATTGAGGAAAATGTTTATGGTTGCTTTGCTATCACAGTAGAGTTTGATTGGAAGTGTTATTGTGACTTATAATTCTTTTTCATGAGTTTCTTTAGCCAAAGTCTTCTGCATATCTCTTGTACAATTCCTCTAAACTCAGATTCAACACTGCTTTTTGCTACTACATTTTATTTCTCCTCCAAGTTACCAAGTTTTCTCATGCAATGGTATAGTAACTAGTAGTTGATCTACTATCATCTGTTGAACCTGTCCAATCTACATTTGTGAAAATTTCTACTTTTTCTTCTTAAAAGTAGAATCATTTTCCAGATGAGCCTTTGGGATATATGAGAATTTTATATACTACTTCAATATGAATTTTCTTTTGAGAATGCGAATGCTGGCTTACCACACTTACTGCAAAAGCAATGTCAGGTCTAGTATGGGATATATAGTTCAATTTTTATGTCAGGTCTAGTATGGGATATATAGTTCAATTTTTCGACAAGTCGTTGATATATGTCATTTTGCACTGGGTCTCCAATATCTTTTTTCCTTCATGTATCAATAGGTTTGTCTCTAGGTTTACATCTATGCATGTCCATTTTGGTTAGGAGGTCATGAATATACTTTCGTTGTGAAACATCGATACCCTTTTTTGATCTTGTCACTTCCATTCCTAAAAAGTACCGCATTTGTCCCAAATCTTTCACTTCAAATTCAGTTGCTAGACTTCGGTCTTTCCATCTCACTTGTATTGTCTTTTGTTAGGATTATATCATCGAAATATACGATTAAAATGGTTTTTGTTCCATTTTCTGACTATTGGAAGAACATGGTGTGATCTGATTGTCTATGCTAGTAACCTTGATCTTTCAACACCTTTGCAACTCTACTGAATTATGTTCTACGTGACTGTTTGAGACCATATAAAGATTTCTTGAATTTACAAACCCAAATTTTCCTTGTTCCTTTTACAAAATGCCGATGGTAGAGTTATAGTGATTTCTTCTTTAAGTTCTATGTTAAGGCATGCATTTTTAATGTCCAATTGTTGCAAAGGCCAACCCAAGTTAGAAATAAAAGACAACCGAAGTTAGAAATAAAAGACAAAAGAACTTTGATTGTATTTAGCTTGGTCATTGGTGCAAAATCTATTTGTAGTCAATCTCAGAGGTTTTTGTTTATCCTTTTGCAACTAGACAAGTGTTATATCGTTCTATTTGTTCCATTAGCTTTATAATTCACATCTCTGTAGCACGGACACTTAAAATTGGAGTAGCGTGTCCGTGTCGGACACATATCGATATCGACACTCCTCGGACACTCCATCATAAGCAATTTTTCTTTTTTATCAAAAATATCATATATTTTTAACTCAAAATTACTATTAAATAACAAATGAGTACTCATAATTAAAAGATTTCAACAAAAAAATTAATATCAAGTATAAAGTTAAATTTATACTATATAAATGAAAATTTTTAAAGTTAATCAACGTGTAGACGACGTGACGTGTCATATCGGTGCTCTTTTTTTTTTTTTTTTTGAAACTTGCGTGTCAGCGTATTCGACACGTATCGTGTCGGACATGCTTGTCCGTATCGGTGCATCATAACTTCACATTGAATACCCTTTTACATCCTATGGGCTTCTTTCCTTCTGGTAGATTCATCACTTTCCAATTTTTTTTTTTCCCAATGCCCATATTTTCTCCAACACTGCTCTTCATTTGGAAATTTTCCAAGCTTCCTAAATACTCCTTGGAATTTCAGTACTATCAAGATTAGATTTAAAAGTATGAAATAAGAAAGAATATAAATGAAATGGTCGAAATTCATCCTTTTGTCTTAAAATAATTAAAAAATCTAAGAAGGGTGGATGTAGCCAAGTGGATTACCAGAAAGACTTACCCAATCCATAATGATGTACGGGAAAATACAACATTTTTGTTACTTGACCAACCATCCTTATAGAGAGAGCATTATAAAAAATGAATTTTAAGATAGGGTGGAGAGTGCATGATCGAGTTTGTTTGCTGAGTGCAATACGTAGATTGATATTGGGAGGTTCGGACTCAAGAAAATTTGGAGCTATCATCAGTTCTGATTCTTTTGTGCTTCAAGTAGGATTGTTTTTGTACTTTGATTTTGGCTTTCTCGGGTGAACTAACATCTCCCTATCGTTTTTTCTTCTATATCTACTCTTAAATTCAAATTCTCCTATATACATGCATATTATAGCAGGGTTCTATGTCTTGTGTAGGCTTGAAAAAGATGTCAAAGTTTAATAACCTATCCTCACTCGAATTCTCTCCTTGAAGAGAGGATTTTTGGAAGATATGTGTCATTTCAAATATACAACATCAAGACTGACATATTTTCTTTGTTGATGGATTATAGCATTTTTAACCTTTTTAAGTGGGCAAGTATCTGGAGAGAAATAATTGGGGCGAAGTATGGTGTGACGGAGGGGGGATGGTGTACATTTGAGGATTGTGGTTCTTATGGGGTGAGTTTGTGGAGGTATATCCGACGGGGATAGAGTGCTTTTTTGGACAAACTGAAGTTTGTGGTCGGAAATGGTAATGAGATTAGATTTTGGGATGATTGTTAGTGCGGAGATCAACCGTTGAAGGAGAGATTCCCTTCCTTGCATCGCATTGCTTCAGTGCCCACTGCTATGGTGAGTGATCTCTTAGATATTCATAATGGGAACTATAGTTGGAATATTACTTTTGGGAGGGATCTACAGGATTGGAAATTGGAAGATTATTCGCTGTTTATAACCTTTTTACATGAGGCACAAATTCGGGTTGGAGAGAGGGATTGCATCAGGTGGAGGATAGCACAGGATGACATTTTTTCAGTTTGCTCGTACTTTGGTACCCTCATGGGATGTGTGAATAATTCATTCCCCTGGAAGTTGGTGTGACAGTGTAAATTGCCTCCTCGGGTGACATTCTTATTGTGGACAGTTGTGAAGGGATAGGTCTCAACGGTTGATAATCTTCGACGTAAAGGCTTTTACGCAACCGAGTGGTGTTATATGTGCAAGAAAGATGGGGAGACGATCAATCATTTGTTCATTCATTGTGATGGTGTACGTTGGATTTGGAACAGTATATTTAGTTCTCAATCTATGGATTGCCTGATGCCTCATCGTATAGAAGAAGTGATACGGGTATGGCGGAGAAAACTTCGTGATAAGGATAGCAAACTGGCATGGCACCTTATCTCGGGTTGCATTGTATGGTGCGTGTGGAGAGAAAGAAACAGCCGTTGCTTTGAACACCAAACGAAGATAAGAGAGCAGATAAAAGAAACATTTTACTTTACCTTGTATTCTTGGTTTAATGCTGTGGCTATAAATCTTGTAGATGGGTTGCCTAATTTCATGTTGTTCCTTAATGGCTTAAAGTGATTGTATACCCCCCGTGTATTCTCTTTTAAGTAATAAAATTATCTGATTACCTATAAAAAAAAAATTTGAGGGATCTTATCATTTCAAAAAAAAAAAAAAATGATACAAGGATCAAGTTTACTTCGATTATAAAAATGAAGGTGAGCAAAGACCATACAGCCTAACATCTTGAGGTATATGCTTGAGTTCATATGAGAATTGGGGAAGAAAATTTGAAGGCTTTGGATAGATGATTCGAAAGAAAGCGTATGATTAGGCATTCTGTTGATAAGATTGGTTGATGTTAAGATAGCATCTTCCCATGACATTTTTGGCATTTTGTAGTGAACATTAGGATACGGGCAACTTCAAGGAAGTCTGTTTTTGCGTTCGACAAACTTTGGTGGACTATCCCATATTTTTGTAGATGATCCTATAGAGTGGTATTGGATAATTCTGTATCATTATCAGTGGGTAGGATTTGAATTTGTTTTTGGAATTGTGTTTCAATCATTTAATCACAGTTAATGAATATGGAATGTACATAAGCTTTTTCTTTTAGTAGGTGAACCCAACAAATCCAATTATGATCATCTATGAGCGTAACAAATCATTTTGTGTGTCTGATTAGGAATGTGTGAAGACCTCCCATAGATAGGGATGTTGAGCTGTTCGGCTCGTCAAAACCCAGCTCATGGGCGGCTCGGACTTGTCATTTGCGGGGGGCTCATGCCCACGAGCCATTTTGACGACGTGGGCTCGTCAAAAAATATGAAAATTTAAAAAAAAAAGGTCCAAAAATGTGCAAATTTACAAAAAAGAAAAAAATAAATAAAATAAAAAATCAGGAGCTCGTGAGCTCGGCTCATCTTTCACGAGCCACGAGCTCGGCTCGCCACAAGCTCGAGCCGAGCTCGTGGGTTAAAGGGCCGAGCCGGCTCGGCTTGGCCCATTGCCATCCCTACCCATAGATCACTGTGAATTATGGTAAATGGTTTCGGTGGTTTATATGTGAATTTTGGAAAAGTAGTGCATTGGTATTTCGCAAGTTCACATATTTCACATTGAAAGTCAACTGATGTTTTATTCAATAAAGTGGAAGGAAATACACTTCTTAAGTATTGCAAGTTAGGGTGGTCCATTCTATAATGCCATAATAGAATATTATTATCCCCAGAGACAACATAGAATCACAAATTTCAGTTTGATGTTTACTCACATTAGCTTCTTCAATGTAGTAAAGTCACTACTCTTTAGGACTGTCAATTGTCTTGCCTAATGATAGGTCCTAAATACACTGAGATTGAAAAACTTTAGCAGAGCAATTTGATTTTTATACTTAACTGTCGCATGACAAGTTTGGGACATGAAGAATGGATTTTAAAGTTGTTGCCTCGAAAATATGAATACTCCCTTTTCCTGCAACAAGTGAGTAATTCGTCAGTGGTCTTAACTTTTATATTGCTAGCATGATGAGTATGAAGAGAACGGATGTTAAGCATTTGTCATGTGATCGGAAACACCAGTGTCAATGATCCAGGGAGTTTTATATCTTGAGGAGATATTTAAGGCTTTTAGGAAACTATTGTGGGCTAATGAGCAAGAAGGATTGTGGAAGATTGATTCGATGTTTCAAGAGTCGAAAGGATTTGATAAAAATGTTTCACTTTTCATTTCCTTGGATTTTTCAGTTTGGTTGACCAAAACTTGATAGCCATGATTTTTAATGCTTTGTCTTGATTTTCAGTATGTGGGCTTCCCATGTATATCCCAACATATGTCCACTTCGTGTCCTGACTTAAGATAGTGTTGCACACTAGGGCCGTCCCTTTTGTTGTCTTTGGCCCGATAGATGTGCTGCTCCTTTTGTAAATAAGGCTGCCATTCCAGGTTCAATTCAAGCAGGCCTAAACTTTAAAGATCCTGTAAGCCCACCATTTCCTAGTCAAGTAGTAGGCTAAAACTTTAAAGATCTTGTATGCCCACCATTTCCTAGTCCAGTAGTAGGTCCAATATCCGTTGAAATGGATCCAACCTCAAATGACCCAAATTTTGACAATCCATTTCCACTTGTATTTGGCCCAAATCATGGTAATCCATTTCGAGTAGCAAAATATGTCCTATTTTCACTTCCAATTCCCTTCAACAAAGCGTTGTCTTAATTTTGCCGATTTTCCAACGATTTTCTATTCTCACCTTGGCGAACACTTCCCATGTTGAAGGTAGTAGTTGTCGATCCAAAATTCTACCTCTAACATCGTCTAGGTTCGGATTGAAGCCGGCGAGAAACTCGTAAACTCGTTCATTTTCGAGTTTTTCTTATACTTGACACTATTGTTGAGGCATTCTCACTCTTCTTTGCAACTAAGGTGGAGTTCTTGTTAGAGGGAAGTCATCTTTGGGGATGGGCATGGGTTGGGTTAGGTCGATTTTTTTTTCAACCCAACATGGTTGAACCAACTCAACCAATTAATTGTTTAAACCCAACCTAATCCAAACCGATCAAGTTCGGGTCGAAATTTGGATAAATTTTTAAAGTTTGAAATTACTTGAAAACTATTTTATTATTATTATTATTATTATTTTTTTTTTTTTTAAATACCTATATAAGGAATTTTTTCTGAAAAATAACTTATAAATAAGTTTAAAATTTATGAAGCATTTTTTTTAACAATTTTTTGGAAATTATTCATTTTATCATCATGTTCTTAGTTTTTACTTTTTTGTCAAATAATATTTCATTTGTACAAAGCGCTCATGTGAATCAATCTACGTAAAGAAAATAGACATTTATAAATTATAAGTTCTCATAATTTTACTATTGTGTGTGTGTGTGTGTGTTTTTTTTTTTTTTTTTTTTTTTTTTTTTTTTTTTTTTTTTTTGTTTTTTTTTTTTTTTTTTTTTTTTTTTAAATCTTAGATATCAATTTTTTTAATTCATCGGGTTGGGTTGAACCCAACCTCAAATTTAATTTTTCAATTCAACGCAATGCAATTAAACTTATAAAATCAACCCAAACCGATTGGTTTGGTTTGGGTTGGATTTTGCCCAGCCCTAGTCATCTCCATGTAATACAGTGTAACTTCCCGCTCTTCCTGTTTAGTCTACCACTATAGAGTTTTGATTTCAAATATCTGGGATGAGTTTTCAGGGTCTTGAGTACACCTCTTTGACGGCATCCCAAATATTTTTCGCGGTTGGGGGGAAGAGGTATGTTTTTCCTATTGATTGCTGCATAGAATTTATTGGCCAAGACATGACCATCGAGTTCTCTCCTTTCCATTCCTGCAAGTGGGTAGCATCTGTAGTCTTCTTCGTGTCTCCGGTCAGGTAACTTTACTTAGCTGTCAATTACTAACTTGACTGACTGTACCCATTTTCTGAAATATCTCCACCATTCAGCTTCTCCACCATGAGTTGAGGGGTTATTTTCCACTCCAATCGGAGTCATTGTAGAATTGCTCTCCTTATTGTGGGATGATTCAGAGGTCATGGAGCCTTTACCATTGACAGGGACTTCTGTCACCAGTTGCTAGGCTTAGGATAGATAGGCTCTCATAAAATGGAAAAAGAAATCATATATTTTTATGCTGAAAAAATTATACAACTCAATTTATAGTACAAACGGGAGAAGGGAAAAAGGAATGAAATCTCCTAAATTAGGAGAGGAAATCAACCTAATTAGTATATAACTATGGAAAAATCTAAATATGGTACAAGAAATCAAATCAACCTAATCAATTACAATTATACACTTTCGGATTTCTACAGAATATACTGTATATTGTTGTTTTTTTGCTATTTTGGCAGGTACTAGTGGAAAATCCTATCTGCTAGCTAACTACTTTTTGGAACAACATAGTGCTCATCTGAACTTGACTTTTTGGGATGTGATTTACATGTAATTACTATATTGATTCATATATTTTACAGTCTGCCTTTTGTTAAAGCCAAAGGATAAGCGTGCATGTGAACAGCTGTGAATATGATTACATTATAATTGTACTATAAGGCTGTCGTCGTGCTTCTTACAGTTGAATGCTTATCATATTGTGGAATTATGATTTTGAATTTGTCATATTTGTTCTGCATTTAATTTCAGTTAGTACTTGAGAAAAAATAATTGAACATTGAAGTACTTTGAAAGAAAGATGAAAACTGACTACGTCTGTCCGATGTCACACCATTTTTAGGATGTTTAATCCCTTTGTCTAAAATTGAATGTCTTGGTTTACATTTTGGAACATTCTAAATTTATGCCTGCTTTCCTAAGATTAACATATTCTTCAATCTTCACTATTCTTCTTTCCCATGCTACCCTCAGACCATGTTGTATTTTTCATACATGCTTAGCAGCAAACACATGGTCCCGCATAGATGTCATACGATATAATCGGAGAACTACAGAAAACACCCCACTTCTCAACTCTTAATATTGTGCCAAGTGAAGCCAAGACATTCCTAGCTGGAATGGGGATATTAGATTCTGATTGTGTTACTGTTAAGATAATTGAAATTTGCTAGACTTCATCTTTGCTTGATTCTTAACAACTGTCTTATTACTTAAATGATGTCAGATTTGGAGATTTCTATATCAAATTATGATTGCAATTACTTTTCATGTCTAGCCAATATTGAGAATATTTGCTTGCTCTAATTCTTGTTAGTGAGGATGGAAAACATGATTAATCTATTTCACAAGATAAATGTTCAAAAGAATCTCTATGATGCTTTGTGATATCCTGCAGATAGGAGCATTGGGGAGAAAAAGCCTAGGATTTTTGGGGAGAAGGGCCCTTCTGTGAAGGAATTAAGTGGCTACAACTCCAAGAGACAGGAGTTTGAGGTTGAGTTTGATAATGATGCTGAGCAGTTACTGGCTGACATGGAATTCAAGGATACAGATTCTAATGGTGATCGTGAACTAAAATTGCGTGTGTTGCATATATACTCAAAAAGGTGAGTTAGTTTCTTCTTTTATTGTTTTTGGTTCTTTTTTCTGCCTGTGTTTTCTTTTTCCCATCTAAGATGCAATCTGATTGATGAGTTAAAAGTATAAAAGTTTGGTGCTTTAAAATATAGATTGATTTCTAAGAAAGTAATTCCGCTGTGTTGCAGGCAATTCATAACTTGTGAAGTAAACAAATGAATGAATATAGAAGAATTAGTTTATATGAAAATGAGAACAAACAAAATGAAAGCATCAATAGCTGTTTTTTCGGAATTCATTCTATCAGGCGCAGGGTATGCTCGGTTGCTGTATGGTTCTTTAGTTTAAATGAGCCTATTATTTAGGGAATCAATAGATCTCTTTATTCTTATTAATGTGTTCTGAAGCTTAGAGAAATGATATTTGCTAAGTTCTCTGATTCGTTGAGTCCTCTTGTAATCCACAAGCCCCTTCAGTGCTTACTATTAGTTATCGGGAAAAAAAAGTCGTTCAGACATTTTTGAGTTTTTCGATTAGACTTGAAATTGTTGGCCCATTTATTTACTGATATAATGGTTATTGATATGATAACACATTTACTAGTCCAAACCAAGCCAGAATCCAAACTGTCAGTTCAGTCCTTTTGTATATATAATTGTTTTCTTTTCTTCTTTGCTTGCCATACTAATCTGTCAACATGGCAGACTTGATGAAAGAAAACGGAGGAAAGACTTCGTATTGGAAAGAAATTTGCTTTATCCCGATCCTTTCGAAGAGGACCTGACCATGGAAGAGAAGGATTTATGTCACCACTATAAGGTGTTTATGCGATTCCATTCCAGAGAAGAACACGAACGATTGCTGAGGAGTATTATTGAGGAGAATCGGATTTTGAAACGGATACAAGATCTTCAGGTATGACACACATCTAAGATGCTGTATTTAGATTTTCATTAATATGCCAACATTCCTGTCGTCTTTGGCCACACCTTATCACATCACATTTGCCCCCATCACCATTTAAAATCCATAAAGAATTACTTATAAGGTCTGAATTCTGTTTTAGCAATCAACTGTATAAACTTCAGAAATGTAAAATGACTTTGAATGACCATTTAAGTTTATGGAAGTTCACCAAGTTGAGAAAGATGAGAACAGTTTAACATAGAATATCATGTTACTGCATTCTTGATGGCTAACTCTGGAATTTATGCCTTGGTTTGTGAACAAACATATTGATTTTTTGTAAACCGAGGAATAAAATTTGATACAGGACTGGTACTCTTGAGCCATTTTATGTTCGACAGAAATGATCACTGTTTTATGGCAAAAATCTGATTTGAGTACGTTTCTTGTTCTTCTTTCTTATTTAGCCCCCGTTTGAACCCCATTATTTCTCATTACATTAAATTAAAATTTTCTCTCAACTACTTTTAATCACACAATCTTCAATAAAATAATATTACACGTAAATGAAAAACTTTTCAACCACTCATTTTTCAAAAAGACGCTATTTATCTCATTATAATCTACAAATAATGGGGCTCAAACGGGGGTTTAGACTAACCCAACAGAGCAATGTAATGCTTTCCGCAAGATTGTCCTTTTCTAGTGGGGGTGCAAAGAAAAATGTAAATGAGATTTCATTATTGCTCTTCAATCTACCTCCTTTACATGTTTAATAAGAAGCACCAATACTTGTAAGCTCATTACGTACCAGTATTCGATATGTGTCCAAGCTTGGACACTCTCTGATACCCTCCGATACTTGTAAACTCATTAGCTACCAGTATCCGATATGTATTCAAGCTTGGATTCTATCTGATACCCTCCGATACTTGTAAACTCATTAGCTACCAGTATCCGATATGTATTCAAGCTTGGATTCTATCTGATACCCTCCAATATGTACTGGATACATTTTTTTGATTATTTTAATTATTTACGATACATATCCGATACAGAAGGACACATTAAGAAAAGTGTTATTAATTTTAAACACTTCTAAAACTCATTGTTATAAACACACACACACACACATATCTATTATTGAATATCTTAATAATATTTATTGGAAGTACACCATTAGAGTTTTAAATTAATTATGAACTAGATATTTTATAGAAATACACAATATTATTTAATCTTCTAATACATGTGAAACCGTATTAATAGTCGACAAATATATTGTATTATTGAAAATAGATAATAGCTAGTATTTGATTACGTACTCTTTTGTGCACTCTATATGAATGAATAAAATAACATCATAATGGATTGAAGAATTGATTTTCATGATTCATAGCAATCTGCGTTTTTTACCAAGAAAATTAGTTTTCTATTTAAAAGAGACTTGAAAATATGAGATGTCAGAGATTCATTTGATACTCTAGAAGGTATTGGATTGCTTAAGGTAAAGTATTTTAGTATTTTATTTTATTTGTATTATTATGCTTCTCTTTTAATGTTTTTTTCATATTAATGAAATTTTGTTGAATTTTGTAACACGTATCCGTATATCCCCTTATTTATTTATTTTTTAGTTTGATGGGTCGATGTTCTTGTTCACATATAAAATGTGCTGTGCTGCACTGACTCTACACAAAGGTTGATGTACATCATTTGTAGTTTCTAAGATATAGAAACTTGTGTGGTAGTCAATTTCTAGACAAGTGTTTTGCAATCAAGTCATTAATTGAAGATTGAGCTGTATCCATCAAAGTCGAACACTGAAGTAGAAATAATTACGGTGTTTGTCGTAGTTTTTAGAATAATGCACAGTGTGCAATGAAAAACAATGCTATTGCATCATTTTGGACATTTCCCCCCCTTTTGTCGTGTTGCTGTTTTTGTATATCTGGTTCCGAAAAGTCTCTAATGAGAGATGACAGGCATCTTCAATTGGATCTTTAGTACTCTTTTTGAATATGGGTACAACTGGATTAATTGTGTTCTGCTTTCTCCATTATCAAGTGCAACAAGGAAATGATTACATTGAATCTAGTGTCAGAATTAAAATGGTAAGGGGATTGCTCAAATTGGCTTGTTAGCTATATGAATAATGATTTTTTCCGTCAAATTTTGTTGAGTCAAAGTCATATGGGGAGGTTAAAAGGAATTCTGAAGACTACTCTATTATAACTTTTTGGGGTCATGTGTAACAAAAAGAATGAAAAGGTTTTCCAAGGAAAGACACTTTTTAGTTTTTGGGACCACCCGAGTTATCCTCTTTCGGATTCATGAAAAAACTCTCATAGAGCTTCTTTCCTTTTAGAAGATATAGG